TTTGATAGCATCAAATAAAGAAGGTAGTTAAAGACTTTGTATAATTATATGATATTTGTTCAAGATCAAAAATTCCTTGCCATTGATCTTATAGACTTTTCCAATCACTGCCTATATCAATATAATCATAATCTTCTATTTCTATGGATTTTATTATGTTTCTATGGATTTTATCATAGATCTTTTAATCTCAAGTTTTTATAACTTTATATTTATGATAGTAGATTGATTTTTTGATAATATTTATTATTTTTATGAATTTCCAAAGAATTTTATATTAAATAGAAGGACTCAATGTATATTATGCTTTAAAAATATTATTTTTAAGATCTTGAAGATATATATTAAACTATCTTAAGTTTCTCATCATAAAATTTATGGATAAAGAAAACATATGATACATCATCTTACAAATATACACAACAATGAAGAATTTGAGATAGAAGAAATTTTAGATTCAAGGTGGGACCAAAAAAAATTAGAATATCTTCTATATTGGAGCAAAAATAACATCAATGAATGCACATAGCAGCCATCTATGAATCTTGGACATGCAGAAAAAAAAAATTATTGTATTTTTTTTAACAATATTCATAAAAATCAAGTTTTTTTTATAAAGAAGTTGAAAGACAAAGAATAGAAAAGTTCTTTGATATAAAAAAAAACATATTTAATGAAGATTATATTCTATTTTCTTTCTTTGTTTATATATTTTTTTTTTTTTTTTTTTTTTTGTATTTGTGGCATTAATAGAAAAAATCAATAACCAATATATTTAATTCAAGAGCTTTTCTTTGTTAAGTTATCATGTAAGGCATTGAGATTGTAACGACCATTAAGAAATCATAATAGAAATGAAGATTCTTAAGAATATATATATATATATATATATATACATATATATCTGATTTTTTTAATTAAAATTTTTAAAAATAAATTACAAGTTATAATGTATTTGGTAGCACAATTGTGGAAGAAACTTTGAATATTTAGTGAAATTATTAGAGATAGAAACCACTTATGATGGTATTTCAAATATTTCATTTAAAAAAAGTTATGAAAGCCTCAAAAATGACCAAATAAGAAGGTGGTCTTCTTGTCCTAATATATATCATTATGAATGGTTAAAAAGACCTATCAACTATCTTCAATGAGAACAAAGATCAAAAGATGTAGCAAATTCAATTTGTTACACCTTGAACTTCTTCAACATGTAATCATTGCTCTTTATAGAACTTTTTTTTAGAAAGAGAAATAATGCCACAAATATAAATGATATTAGTAATTATCTAAATAAAAAGAATAAGGTGGAAATAAATGAAAGTAATTAAATTATATAATATATTGTGTAAAAACTTTTTAAAAGCTTTATAGATATTGATATGATTTTATATGTATGTGTAGGTGATTGACAAGTTGAAAACTTGCCTAACAAGTTGGCCATTTGTTGCACATGTTGGCTACTTTTGGTACAAGTTGGTTATATAGTGCACACATAGCAAACTTATGTTGCAACTTAAATATATGTCTTACAAGTTAGATACATGTTAAAGGTCCTAAAGAATGTTGTCAGGTAGCTTATAGTAAATATTATATATGAAAGCAAGAGTAATGCCATTTTTACTCTCCTCACATTCTTTCTTTTTTCTAATCTACTCTCAAGAGTCTCTAGTTCTTTTATTTTATTTTTAATAATAGTTCTTCAAGTTTCTTCTTAAACATACATACTTTCTCATCTTTTTTGTTATCTTTTTTTGAGACACATCTCACGTATTTGTTTTTATTCTTCAAATTTTTGTCTTTGAAATCTATTTTTTTTGTATAACAAAATCAAAATCAATAAATACCTCTTTAACTTTAATAAAATTTCCTAATATTGTAGATAAGTAAGAAAAAATATCTAATATTTTATATATAAGTATAATAGGTAGAGACATATATATAAAGGTATATATTACACCAAATATCTAATATTCTATAAATATTGCCTAAAAATATCAGAAAAGTCTAAAGAAAAAACATTTGAAATAAATAAAGTTGATACTTTGTTCTTTTAAATCAAATTGTAAATGTTTGCATTATGATTGTTACAAAATAATAAGGAAGAAAAATTATCATATGATTTGTTGATGTTCATTTTGTTGGACTTTGTTAAAAGATGTTTCATTTAAGTTATATTTTTAGAATGATTGGTAGACTTTTGAGCTAGAGATTGACTTTACAATTTATTATAATACTTTCAACAATTAAAACAAACTATGCAACTATTACAAAAGTAAATTAAGAAACAATATAGTTGAAAAGACTCACCAATAAGTTTAATTTGGTGCAAAATTAGATTATACTATATTATAATAATCAAAGCACTATACAACTAATAAAAAAATTAAGTATATCATTCCAAAACAAAATATATAGATGATAGATATTATTAAAATTTTAAAAGCTAAATGCAGTGTCTTTATAATATGGTATATGCTTTATTTAGTGAATATTTAAAATATCCATTATATTATCTTTATAGCATATAGCAACTTATAAGCTTGAATTAATAAATTTCAGTTGTTTATATATTTTTTCAAATCATTTATAAACAATTGTATTCTATATTGGTTTTTTTTATATAAATATGTAATGTTTTTAATCTATATATATATATATATATATATATATATATATATAAATATATAATTCTATTGAAATTCTAAAATAACTTTAAAATATGATTTTATTTTTTTTAAATATAAATTAATTTATGACACATATAATTATGTATAATATATATATATTAGTAAAATTAAATTGTATATATATTTATCATGATTATAAGTATATAATGTATATCTAATAGATAAAATTTAATGATTTTTTTTAAAATAAAGAGATAAAACATAAATCAACAAACTATTAAATCTTTGATTTTTGTGAAGAATATAATAAATTAGTTATATATATATTGTGGTTTTAAATAAGAAAAAATATCATATATATCCTTTAAATATGTTGAAATATCAAGAATACTTATGTATTCTTAATATTAACAAATCTATTCCTCAATTTTATGATAATAGCAAATATATCCTTGAATGTAATTAGGTATTACTATCCCCCTTTTTTAGGTGCATTTGGGGCCCTTTTTAGCACTTTTTGGTACTACATGCAAACATAATCAAGATTGCTATCTATGGAAGTCAAGGACATAGAAGCAAAGTTGCAATCAAAGGTTTTTTCATGCCAAAGATTATCCAACAAGTTTATGAGAATGGTTTCATAGGATGACAACATTGTGTACTCATGGAAGTAATTGATGTCAATGATAAGAAAAGAGTTGTCGGCCATAAAATCCTTGATGACATCAAAATTGAAGAGACATAGTCCAAGTGCCTCTCTCAATCTATTACCTACATTTATTGTAAAATTTTCAAAAGGAAGCTTTGCATTAGCAACATTCTTATCATTGGTGGCTTCCAAAACTATGTTTGAAATCTAGGAGAAGTTTAAGGATTCATTGGTATTCACTTTCTCTTTGTATTCATTGAGAAGTGACTTATGCCTCATGTACTTATTATACTTGCTAACAACATACACTTTGAAGATTACTTGACCATAGTTCACAAATTCTTACATCACTATTGAAGATTTTAGTTTGTTGAGATTTCACATGTTGAAGAACAAAAATATGATATAAAACTTGGTGCTTCCATCCGCCACCATAGGCTCAGCAATCACAAAGAAAGTCAATTTTCAAGAAGAATTTTTGAAGAATTTTGAAGAATTTTTGCATTGTTAACAATCAATTATTTAAAATGCCACATATACCTAGACTTGGAGAGATTTTCAAATGCTCTATAGCTTGGAGTATAGAAATGTGGTTTTGCAACTTCACAATTATAACAAGAGGGTCTATAATCACCACATTTGGATGCTGATCTTTATATGGTAATAACTATTATGTCCATACCTCTCCTTAGTACTTGTGTATAATTGCATAGAAAGGCTTTTGTAGGAATTTGTGAAAATCCACAGACACCAAGTTTACGCCTTTGTTCTTGGCATATACTATCAAAGAGGGTTGTACAAAACTATTCTATTTCTTCTCTGCAAATACATATCCTAAATCGAACATCTCTTTCCATGTGAACATTGTTTGCACCAAATCCTAAAGAAAAACACACAATAAATCACAATTAACTCTTAATTCTTTTTTACTCATTGCTACTTATACACACTAATCGAGTTAGAAATTTTAACACATTTTCACAAATTTGCATGGCATCCAAACATTGACAAAAGAGGAGACAAAATGTGTCAAAAAGACCTACGTTGAAATTTTTGTGGCACATAGTTTGGGGCCTAAATGCACCTAAAAAAAGAAGAATCTTGATATCTTATCATATTTGAAGGTAGATTTGCTATTATCACAAAACAAAGAGTAGACTTGTTATTATCACAAAAGTAAAGAATAGATTTGTTATTATCACAAAAATGAGGTAGATTTGCTATTATCAAGAATATAAAAATATTCTTGATATTGGAATATATATTATACATATCTTTTAGAACAATATGACTACAAAATGCAAAGAAACCTTAAAACATATAAACTTTAAATTACATTTTTTTACAAAAATGTCATGAAACTAATTAAATGCATATTTTAAAATATATATTATGCAAAAGTATATGATGAGTTTATTTAGAAACTCTAATTACAAGAAGTTAAAACTCAATCAATATATGCTATCAACATTTTAATTCTTTACAAAGTGTGACTGCCATGTAACACTTGAAATATTTGAATATAGAATTTGTAATTAACATTATGTGGAGAATTCCAAAAGAATACCAACAGTTGAACTCTACAGAGGATTAAACATACTTCTAGTCAAATATTAGCAGTTAAATTTACAAAAGATTTTTAGAAATCATCTAACACACATAACAGCCAACAAGCATAGTAGTGAATGAAAATAAAAATGGATGAAAACTGAAGAGAAAAGGACGAATAACTAATTTATGAATCAACTGAATTTGCACAAAGCGTACCTGCTTAGGGAGACCGATAAAATGCTCACACAATAAATGTATGACAACTAACTAGTAAATTCTTTTTTAGTACAGAAAAATTTAGAGCCGCAGTGATTTTTCAACTACACTAATAGGTGATTTTTATTTATGTTTTTCTTTTCTTTTCTTTTTTTCCATTTTTGCGCTAATCACAGTGCTCATCCAAACATTTGAACGATTACTAAAAACCTGACTACCACCAACTTACGTGATAAGCTTTACCATTCAATACGTAACATTCATCTATTCTCTCTTCGATCAAACCTGCAATTCCTTGCGTCTCCACGACAGTAGTCAAATTGAAAAACTACCTATTCAAAGTCCCCTGAAATTGGTGCCTTGGATAATTCTAATCTATAAACTACCTACACGTTACAAGATAAAACTCACAAGGTTTTTGTAAAATCAAACTGAAGATTTTCGCAAGCTCCCGACTTCTTCACAGCTCAGTAACCCAATACAGACAAGTAGAAGGTTTCCAAATAACCACTAGCATATTCTGGTTTGCATCAGTACCATGTCTCACTATCTTGACAATGTCTAAAAGCTATAAATCAAAACTACTCACAATATGCACAAAAAAAGACAGAATACTGATATCAACCAAAACATCTCATTGGCACAGGACCGCCACTCCACAAAATCCAGAAATTAAATTTGAGAACAATCATGGACTGCATCACCTAATATGACATTATCTGTTTGGTTCAGAAAGCATGTAAAATAGTTCTTCATCGGCACTCGCTCCCTTCTCCACTGCGATTTCCAATGGGGTTTTACCAGTAATGTCTGGTGCACGTGGTTTTGATCCTCTGCATGCCAAATAATTATAAATAAAACAAGGTCATTGACATTCAGTGACAACTCAATGCATTCATCATCAGTGAAAATTAATAGTGGACTCCAATATCGTTGCAAACCACAACATGAAATTGTTTCTTTCAGTACCAACGCCATAGATACTGAAAACTTCCAAGCTAATTTTTAAAATAAGTGAATGTATTCCTTCACATCACATTTACACAACAAAATCATTAGACTCTGAATAAATAAGATGAACTAGGTTGCACACAAAGGTACCTTGTGAGAAGAAGCTTTGCACATAAGTTCTTTCCCTTCAAAACACAATGGTGAAGAGGGGTTCGACCAAGTGAGTCAGTAGCTTCAATTTGTGCACCATGTTGAAGGAGAAGCTCAACCAAACTCAAATCTCCGATCTGACAAGCAATGTGCAATAAATTGCAACCCTGCAAATCTTTAGTATCAGCAATAGCCGCCTCGTTAGAGCTTGGACCCTCAAGTAGGTCATAACCACGTAATGGGCTTGAAGCTGCTGAACGAGGTCGAGATGGAGTCTGCGACGTGGGAAGGAGTGGTCCACTCCAATTGCTACGAGTGCTTTGAGAAACGGAGCCCTTCCGTGAAAGCGCACCTGCCAGACTGACCAAAGGAGACCGAGATGATTCACTAGCACCCATGGCTTGCTCAAAGGTTGTGTTGGCATTAGCATCTCCAGTAATTAATAAGCGAAGGACGAGCTGTAGCTTGTTACTTGAAACAGCATCCCAGATCTGTCGTGCCATTGGAGGAGCCCCTGATTGGACCTTCAATTTTCGCACAAATCTTTTCTCAACATACTGCGAGAGAGAACACCATATTAGCAAAGTAAGAAGCAAGAAAACGTCTAGACTGCAACGGATGTAACAAATCAACAACAGGCTCTAAAAGAAAATAACATGGTAGCTTATCATACGTTAACTTCGCATACAGTTAACTGCAATTGTGCTGGCATACAGGGAGTTCAAGCATGCGGAACTAGTTTAAGGCATATAATCAAAGAATCATGTAAAAAGTTCAAATACAAATCCAAACGGAAATTCAAAATGCTGATATTCACAATGGCTCTTCACAAAAAATTGTACAAATGATGTGAAATCTAAATTTAATAAGAGAGCATTCACAAAATCTAGTTAAAACTTCCCACTCCTTAATACAATTCATACAAAATGCTTCTTAGACTTGTTTCCTTAGAAATGAAACGTACCTTGGCATGTATGAATTTCTCTTTGATGGCGATTGGGTCATTAGGTTTTGGTTTCACTCGCACATCTCTGAGGGATCCGTTTCTCTCATCGATAGAACCTCTGCTGAGCATATCCAATATTAACAGTGAATAACTATTATCTTCTTACACATGCAAAGATTATAACACAATGTTACATCGGCTGATGAAATCGTGTACAAACCTCACGCCTGCATCCTCCGCGGCTCTGGAATCGGGCGGCAATAGTTCTTCCCAAATTGTGTTCGCATACGTATTACCAACGGATAGAAAATATCCTAATACAGAGGGCTCCCATACTCTAACATCCAGTGTCAATGATCGAACCTGCCAGCAAAAGAAGCATTGGGTAAGACCAAGACAAGTTCATAGAAATGCAACGCTTCAACTCAGACACTCCAGTTAGCTCCATCCGCACAAAACTCTTTCATAAAACACGACCATGTCATTACACTTCTCTTTAAGGAACCCTAAAAACAAAATATACTTTAAGTTGATGAAGTCTTACAAGGTTCTCTCGTCTTGGCACTCACAATAGTAAACCGGTATGCAGAACATCAAAAAAATTGAAGAAATTTTACCTTAGAAATCTGTACACTGAGATTTCTGTGCACCCCAGAGCACTCTATACACAGCAGAATTCCCAAGTTCAAAGAAGCCCAATCAGGATCACTGGCACCACAATCAGCGCAGACACCATTACCAGGTACCCTCTGCAATATATCCACGGGCCTTTCCTGCGGTTTAGGACCACGACGCGGATTGTGATCTCGGCGTGAGCCACTCGGATGTGCTCTAGATGCTACCGTGTCTTCGCTTCCGTCATACTCTGAAGATGCACTCAATGTACTTGTTTCACTGCCTGTTCGTTGGTGAAGCCCCATTGGACTTCGATATGGCCGCTGGCACACCCATGATAGAAAATGAGATACTCAAAATCACACCTTACCAAAAATCAACATAAATCCAGTTGATCTCAAAATCCTGGCCCCTACGACAGATTGCAAACGTGCAAGTTAAGGTGGTGTCTCAATCACTGCGAACACAAATCGCTTAACGTCATTAAGTTTGAGGGCGGATAAACAGCTGATAAATCTCCCTTACCTGCTCTGGTATTTGATTGTTCAAAAGAGACGCAATCACTCCAGTAATCTTGTCCATCCAGTCCATTCTGTCTATTGCATTTTCTGCCTGAATAGGAACATACAGAAACAGTACCAGCATCAGTTATCCAAGCTACTATAAGGTATACAACAGAGAAAGGTTCCCAGGACGATAAGTTGAAGGATAGATATCAACCTGGAGCGTTAGGGTTTTCGATGGTGAAATTATACGAAAACAAAATCGAAGATCCGACTGTTCGGCGTCAACCTTTATTGTGGAGGTCAGAAGATTAACAGTATGATGAGCGATCGTTTTATCATCCTGTCAGTTCATAATAGAAACAGTTCAGCAAACACTTGCTTGTGCTCCTGGGTAATTATCAAAACAGATTATATATGTAAAAGAATATCAAAATATGGGATTCCCGATTCAAAATTGCAATTTATCAAGAATCTATTATAAAATGCGTTTAGATATGGTCCACTTACTGTTGGTTTGCCCCATTGTTTTCGATAGTAATATAACATTCCCCTACTATCCAACACGAAAAACCTTCGCTTCCAATCACCTCTCAAATTTGAGGATCGCTTCAAGATATAACCTTGTTTGATAGTTTGAACCTGTAGGGAAACATATCATAATCATAATCATAATATTAAAAGTAAAAAACGGATATGTGTTAGCTTGCAATTTGAAGTCGGACAAAAAGCAACTCCTTATGGAAGATTACTTGGTTTGTGATATTACCTTTCCTCTCGGGGTAGACTGCATGACAGCTTCTATCATCTTGTGTGAACTGCGGGCAGCAGCTTGAATTCCATCACCAGCCGGCGTGACGTCGTTACTACTGAACGAGCGCTGATTATCTCTTTCCATTTGTCGTCGGTATTCTTGCATTCGGTCAGCAAGTAAAACCTGCTCGGAGTTGGCTCTTTCACGTGATTGCTGGGCGTATGTTAGCACCTGGCTCACCGCATCAAACCAAATAAGGAATACGAAATACAAATGCTAATTTACTGAAGGAAAGAAGGCAATCCCACTTCTAGAGCCTTTTTAAGTTAAATGTTGTACATGATAGGGCTACAAGCAAAAATATATTCAAATCTCTCGGAAACATGAAACAAAGGGGCTTGAATCTTAGCTTTACCTGGTGAATGTAAGGTTCCATCTGGTGCAATAACTCGTATCCCTGTGTAAAAGAGGACACAATATCCATTATGCTAAACTATCAATGGACAGTTCCGTAATTCAGATGAATATAGGGGGTATTCGACGTACTGCACAAACACAACTAAGTGCCAAATACCTAATTGAAGTGAAATTTACCTGCTTAAAGTAACGAAGATGAGCGTCCATGGAGCCACTCACAGCTTCAAGGAACTCAAACTTTTTCTTAGCCTCAATGTTGGACAACGCCGTCATCTGAGATAATGACGAATAAACATTAAAATCCAGCCACCAGAATTTCAAATACAAAGCAGCGCACATAACCAGCAACGTTATAAGACACATCTTCTGCTTCAGGATCAGGAATATGATAAGGTTATATCAGTTTTCAGATTTCAAAGCTTCAAGAGAGATTACCAGATTGAATCGAGTTTGCTCAAATTGTGACTTAGCATTTCGTAAATCCTGAGCACAGACAATGGAACCCACAAAGCATGTAACCTGAGAAAAAAACACATCTGGAGAAAAAGGTGGAGTAAATTGTCAACTGATAACTGGGTGATTTGCACATTGTGTTTATGAAGGAACTATTAATCCTCAAGCACAAACCATTAAAACTACTAGGAGCAAAGCAAGACAAAAAAAAACAGAACTTAGACTAGTGAACAAATAATACCTCCTCAAACCCCACAACTATCTCTGGCTTTGCATCCTTCTTCAAAGATAAAAACTTTTCTCGCACCTGTTCAACGTATACATGCTCAGATGCAGAGGATATCTTTTTGCACACTAATCTTTTCTTTTCATGTCAACTTTGCTCAATCGAGGTAAAATAAATCAAATTACTGCTATGGATTGTAACAGACAACCGGTCTTCTGTCGAACATCGAATATGCTCAGTCCTCATCATGCAAGACTGACAAATAAAACAGTGAGAGGAGTAGACAGAAAGATACCTGGTCATAATGTAAACTGGCTTTGTCGAAACGCTTTCTCAGTTCCTGCACAATCAATTAACTCAAGTTAAAGCAAGATTCTATGTTTCAGCACACTTCTAAAATGTACTCTGAGAAACTCAAGCTTCATTCAATCATACGAGGATTTGAAAAGATAAAAGAAGTGTTCAAACTTCTCCAGTAACAATTCTCGAGAAATACTAAGAAATGGTGAGTAAGAAATTGATAACCAGCAAATGAATGAATGACTGCCAGCTCTTAGCTCAATACTGTTGACATTACAAGGCCGTCATTACTACAGCATAATGAAGTCATCTTTGCAAGCTTAAGCTCCGAAATAGGGCTGCAAATGTCAAGTAAGAGGGCTGAATTTCATTACAACCCGTGAATCCCTTCACTCTCAATTGACACGACAGGAATGAAGCATCATGTGCTGAGTCTGAAGTTGCTCACCAACCTTAACATTCTGCCCACATTCAAAACAAAAAGCACACAAATGACCCATTATATACTTCTCCTGAACTGAAATAAAGTCAGCTGATTGACAAAAGCTACGAATGTACAGCGATAACCAGGTAGCGATATCAAGCATAAAGCGTCTAGGAACAACGTATAAACCTTGACGTCTTGAAGATCAGTGCTCACAAACTGCGTCAAACGATCATTCAGCATGTGCTCCACCTGCAGAATTCCAACAATTCTTCATGCTTTACTTAACACTAAAGAAGAGCAGCTCCCATAATTGTAAGCTAATGGTAAAATACGGGCCTTGTAATATCAACAGTATTGAGCTAAGAGCTGGGGAAAATTGAAGAGTACTGCTGTAAACTGAGTTCACAAGTATCTTTTACGTCAACATGTTGGCGGACTGAACGCGTAACTGCTTCAAAATACAAAACAGAGTGTATCGAAAGAGTCATTGTGGCAGGTCAGGAGCACCTGTGAACGAAGGACTTCTTTGTACGTCCCTATCTCTCTGAGCGCAATAGTAAATCTTGTCATCACAGGTCCTGAAAATAATCAAGGAAAAAAATCCTCGAGTCAGAAATCTATATCCTGAGAAGAGATTGCACGAAAATGAACAAAAAACAATGTTAAACTCAAAAAATCGAACTGTTTAATGAAACATAGTGAACACGGTTGTAAATTGCACTTGAGAAGAATGAACCCAAATAAGTTCGGGCCAATGACGTTAATGAAGTGAAAGATTAACGTGGATAAATTTGCTACCGTCATTTGTTCTAGAAACGCTGAAAACCAATTTTCTAATCGGTGACCCCAAAAAATCAAAACCAAAAAGGTTAAAAATCAAAAAAATTAATAAAATAAAATCTGTAACAATCTGATGTTTAAAAAAAACTCAAGAATTCATTGACAAAGAGAGAAGACGCAACTAGCAAGATTAGAAAGGAGAAGGAAATGAAACTTGAATAAAGCCCACGAGCCCTCAAGACAAAAGGCGAGACATGTAAGAAAAGTGAACGAAGAAGTCTAGGAGAAAATGAACATATGATGCAGATAATTATAACCTAAAGAAATGGTCAACAAAAAAACTTTAGAAGGTAGCAATGAAAAGCAAGATGGCTTAAGGTTCCGCGGTAGAAGGTTAAAGATCACGGATGCCGAGGCTGGCCAGATCAATTTTTAAAAATACTGCAGGATTCATCTTTCTTATGGTTACTTGTCCAAAGGATTACAACAGAAAGCTAGTTTAGTAAAAGAACCTCCAACCGCCACACTGATGGGGTCGTCATGACCTCCTCCGAAGGTCTCCAGAGCATTCGCAAACGCAATATCACCATCATACGCTTCTCCCAGACCATCTCTGTAAAAACATAAGCCATTGAAGGATTACAAGGTGTGCTGAGAACTTGTTTCTCCATGTCCCACATTTCCCATTATAAAGAGACCTAAACCTGAAAATGAAGAAATCATTTAATTTGAAGCAAAGTATGACTAGGCCACAGGCGTGAAAACTTCGAGCTGACGAACACTTGCAAGGCCAAGTTTCATAATCGTACGTATACTTCCGACACCCCTTGTAGAATCGCTGACACCGCTCCCTCAATGCCTCTGCACTTTCCTCAAGAGCATGGAGCTGTCGATCACAACATTTAAATCAGCTTTGAGAGAGAAATCTTATGAACTGCATCGACCATAAAAACAACAATAGAAATTCCTTATTCTCAGAGAGGTTCACTATGCAAAGAATGCCCAGGTACAACCTACAAAATCGAACACAGAATTCAAAAGCTTGTTTAGTTGCTTAAGTTTGTCCCAGTAATACTGAATAGTATATCAAAAATTATAGAAACTATAAAATTTCAAGAAATTTTATTTCTTCACACTTCAAATTCTGAATAATCGGATGAGCAGTATATTATATCAAATAGTTAGATTGACATAAACGAGGGAAAGACCTGAAAACGCTGGAAGAGTTTGTCAAGTGCGTACCTGCTTCCTGAACATAGGTGAGTCGTCGAGCTTGGCGAACTGCATAGTTGCAGAATTTGCAAAATCTTAATAGGATAAAGATGACACCTACTAAATCTGCAGCAATATCCCAAATCGAGCTCTCGAAACAGCAGTTTCGAATGAACCTCAAATATGTAATTCAACAAGGTAAATCCGTAACGACATATGCCGGATCTTCTGAAAATCTTCGTTGCTCCGAGTGGCACACAATTTTGAAATAAAAATCTGCAGCCAGTTGTGTGCAAAGGGACGACATAATTCCAGTATGATATCTTCGTGAGCGCCTGTGCACTCCAAAGAATTTTGTGAAACTTCTCGAATGGCCGACTATATCATATCTCCAAATCTCATGATCACTAGATATGGACCTCCGGATGCCTGCTATCGCACAGTGTCGAAAGCGTAAGTGATATGCAAGAGCTTTCGATGTGACGCAATATAAGTTAAGCAAGACTATCCATCATGAACATGAGTATATAAATGAGTTCAATATTTTTACCCACGCACTAGTGGATGAGGAAAAACCTTGATGATTTCACAACTACATGCAGAGTCCGTAACAATGATACTGTTTAAGACTGACGTACTTAATCCAAGTCAACTCATTAAAACACTTCGATGAAAAACCTTACACAGCCAAAATTCAAATGCGAAGCTGATACAATAGTGTAGTCAAATGAAATGTAATATCGAGCACCTGAACTTTAAACTATCATCAGAAACTGGGCGCTACGCCTTCCTTCAGAAAGTTTTAAAAATAGGAAAAAAAGAAAAAGAAAAAGAGACGAATCTACAAGCAGCTGTTGGCTAATTGAAAATGTTAACAGTGCATAGAAACAAGAAAACCAGACACAAAAAACAATCCAAAAAAAGACTTAAAGCGCAAGCGATATAAAATTTGAATACGCAAATCCTTCTATTAGAGCATACACTATGAGTAAAACCACAACCTACTTGTATCTACATAAATTCCCAAATAGGGTATGCTGAGATGAGAGACAGCAAACAAGTAATTCGTGCCATATTCTGGAGAATCTACTGCGCACACTTCCACTATATTTTGAATCGCGAAAATTTATGCAGTGCCATAACAGTATGAAATAGCGTAAAATCAAGTTGTAATTCGGGTTTGAGGAAAAGTTGCCAGCAAAAGCAGCAAAACTTCACCCGATCACAAGGAGTCTACCACTGCCAGTCGTGCCATGGACATAGAAACCCTATGTGCATTGACACTCCAATACTTAGACAGACGTCATTTGTTCATCCACGAGACGAAAGCGCAGAGTGCAGAGAGTGTAGGGCAGATGCGTACGGGGAAGCGGGGCGCGGAAGGAAACGAAAACAGGACGAATGCGTAACTTAGTATTGAGCAGGCAGCGCGGGAAATTCCACTTGCTGCTCAAAGCTCTGCACCTCCTCAAGTGATATCAACGCTTGATCTGGAATGACAACCGGGTGTAGGTTGGCGCGTTCTCCGTTTTGCATGAAATGCACAGAGGAAATGTAAGCACCGGAGACGGCCAGCATAGTTGCTAGGAAGTCGATAGACCGACGCCTGCTACACTCCATTGTCCGATTACGCAGACTTTGTCTGGCTCCGCTACCGTAAACTACATCATTATCGATAGAATACTCTTTCCTACGCTCCCACGCTCCCTCATGATTTGTCTCTCGGCCATTAAAGCCCTCTCCGCTTGTGTGTTTCTACCTCATGAGCACCGCACTTACAGATCTTCGGTGTTTGCTTTCGAAAGGGACATGCTGCGAACCTCGTCTTCAGAACTGGACGACTCACCAGTCACACACAGCATGTCGAAGTCGCTTCTATTCTAGGTAACCCCTAAACCAGGCTCAAAACCCGTCTAACCAACATTATTAGCTCGCACTCCTCTCACATTGACACGACTGTAGGAGCCCTCGCTCTCTCATTCCCACCGTGCCCTGAGCAGCACTGAGCCTCTTTCGCTTTCCCTTTCTGTGCATTGCGTAGCCTATTTCCGGTCTCTTAGTCATGGGACAGCTTAAATGTCGCTCCATCTATTGCCACCTGTCACTGCTTCCGGTGATGTCGTCATGAATAAAATAGTGTGGACTTTTACATTGACCATAAGTCTTTTCCTGGTAAATGTCAACACATTACTAAGAGAGAAATGAATATGATTCGATTAAATTTGTATTTGTTACAACTAATACATAGATTTTAAAAATTAAGTAAAACTTCAAATTAAAAATAGTGCTCCAAATGAATAGTAATAATAAAAAATAAAAAAAACTTATAACTAATTATTTCTTGGGACTTTAATTAGTATTATTTTTCTCATTTTAAAGTATTGATATTCTGGCTTACAGAGAAATATTTTAATAAATAAATAAATAAATATAGTATGTCAGCCAATAAGAGATCTTTATTCATGTTCTGTGATTTATTTCTTCAACTTGTTTCGTTTCAATATTTGATATATTTTGTATCTTTTAAAATCTTTCTTTTTGTACAAATAATGTGTATGTAAACTTTACCAATCTACTGAGGAGAGAGAAAAAATGAAAAACCTTGAATGGTTAGAAGATTTTAAAAGACTAAAATAATTTCTAAAAAACTGTGCTGGTGATTGTAACAAAGTTCTAAGACCTCAAATAATCAAAAGGTATAAGTCTCTTACAGTGTAAAAAGATGAGCCATGTCAAAAAATTGAAAAATAAAACTTGACGACTGCAACATCTCAGTTCTTTCAATTGAACATATATCAGGAGTAACAGAGTCATGTAGAGTTTGAAAAGCTTCTTCAAAGTAGATTGAACTGTCTTTCAAAAGAAACAAAAAGTATGTTAAAAGTTTTATGATTCTGAGGCTTTAAATGAAAAAACAAAAAACAAAAAATAACAAAAAAACAACATCTATCATATCATTGGAATAATATTAAAAAAAAAAAAAAAAAAAAAAAAAAAAACTTATGAGAGGATTTAAAATGAGATAATACATAAAGCATAACAATTTGATTTTGAAGTGTTTAAAAGAGATGCATATGGCAGACATAAACTAGTGATTGGTAATATCTTTAAACAACTGTATCAGTTCAGCAAAATACAGTATATAGTAGCAAAAGATGATTTTGGTTTCTTCTAAAAGTTTTTAAAAATGTACAATAGAAATAATTAAAAGAATAATTTATCAAAAGTTGTTATTTGATATTACTTGGTATAAATAAGTTTTATGATAGTGATAATTATATTACTTCAAAAAATGTAGTAAAATGAAATAAAACATAAAATAAAATAACATAAAAATTAAAGTTTCTTTGAATTATTAAGAAGCTTTATTGGAAGATTTGCATTTCAAATTAACTGGGTTTTGTGACTTGGCATAGGTTTAGATATAAGGGTTTTGTAATACATGCAACTAGATTTTGACAACTTTTACCTAGAACAAAAAAAACAACTAAAAAACAATCAAGATTGTCATGATTAAGAGCCATGTTCTATTTGCTTTTGCATATTCATTCAAGTCACATTCATCCAATGACATGTATTTAGGGACAAAGAAGCTTAGTCTTTCTTTCTCTTTCTCTCTCTTGTTTTGGACAAGATCCTTGTTATTTGTGTTATTCAAGCTTCTAGAGCATTGCACATCATGGTTTAGGCAATATAATTGCAACATTGACTCCTAGCAATACAATTCCAAAATAACCTTGTTTGCTAGCAAAACAAACAATATAGCCATAATTTAATTACAACCAACAAAACAACTAATGTGATTGCAATTGCAATTGCTAGCATCTAAGATCGCCATGATCAAGAGTCTTGTTTTTCTTGTAAAAAAAGACAATTGTAATAATCATGGCAAATTTTATAGTACTGCTTGCACTATTGTAGATTAGTTGTAATATGTTCAAAAATAGAAAAATTCACATGTATATTTACAAGTCTATCATATATTATAATGGGCATTGGATTAGCAATAAGATTATTTGTAATTTCTGTAATGTTCATTATTCTTTCTATGAGCATGCATTTCTCATATAATTATATTAAATCTTGTATTTTACAGACACGCTCAAATGTAGCATTTAGCATTGTACGCAACACAATTGCAGCTACTGGAAATTCAAGCCACCAATAACAGTCAAAGTCAATAACTTGTAAAGTTGTACTGACTTGCATCAACCTCTAGAATATACATAAACAAGGTATAATCATTGATGATGTGATTATACATCAGCAAAAAGTTGTTGTGGATTAGAAGGGTCCTAGACACTTGAGATAGATCAGTCTTGTTTCACTTTGTGTCTCCTTGAATTCTTTTGTGGCTACTTTTAAAGCATAATAGAATATTTTATATGCTATCTTGCACCACAATAGATTGGAATATGAAGTTAAATAACAAGTGGCATGGAAAACAAGCTTATGTCAAACTTCAGACTACTGAGCATTGTTAGTTAAACTAATCTTCTTATATTAACCTTTCAAGTTATTTGTAGATATTGTAATGCAATTCTTTACTACAACATGCAAACCTTCAACCAACAATATAATATAATGGACATGATGACAAATTTCATTAGTCTAAAGTTTCACAAACATTGTGCAATATTGAGACAATCAAACAATATCAATATCTCTTGCTACAACATTGTTAAAGTTGTATTTGAAATCATTCACAACTTTTTTGTACTCTTCAATCTTAGTTGCATAGACCATTATGTTCTATACATCTATAAAGGCTTTGAAAATGGTAATATCTTAGATAATAGGATTGACATTTGTAAGCCATCACATTTGTTAAACTTAGATAATAGACTTGTTATTTGTTTGCACACCTATTTACAAACCTACTAAGAACATATCTATCAAATTTTATATTAAATGGACACTCTAATAATTAGTTATTCTAAATCCTATTTTTTCCTTGTATCTAAACCTATGCCAAGTCACCAAACTTGGCTAGTTTAGTAGAAACCCCAATCAATATATCAATTTTCATATATAAATGTATGATTTGAAAAGAATGAAAACACTAATATACGAAAAGTAGTTACAAGTTGTGAAAACACTTCAAGGTTATATGTAGAACAAAAGAACTGGAATAGATTGATGTTATAGTGTATAATGTTACAATAAAGATTAAAATATAAAGCAGTGGCAGTATTTCTATCTTTTCTAGTCATCTTGGACATGTAAGAATTACATAAAATAAAATAAAAGAAGGTTTGCATCCAAAAGTTGTTCTGTAAGTGATTTGGATTTAGATACTAGACAATTCAGGAGGGAATCTAACTTGGTAAAATCTGTTGTGCACGTTGTTTTCTTTTTGGCATACCTTAGTACTGATATGTGCAAATAACCATGGTCCTGAAAATACATGAAAAGGTTGGGTAGGTTATTTTATAAATAATATTACAACTGTGTAGAGAAAACATTGAAAGTAAAATAAAGTGCCTATTATTTTATAAATAATATACACAAACATTTCATTTAGATTTCACAAAATAAAAAATATAAAAATAAATCCGAATTTACAAAAAAAAAAAAAAATGAGGACATATATATATATATATATATATATAAACAAAATTAAGCATACAATCTTCACATTAAAGTAATTTGAAGAATTGAATAAATTCAATTTGTAAAATGTTGTAAAGCGTATAATAATGTAAAAATTGCAAATAAATAAAAAATTGCAATCGCAAGAAATATTTCAATTCATTTGAGATAATATTGAAAGTAAAATAAAGTGCATGTATTACTATAATTTACTACAAATGTGGTATGTTTGGATGTAACATTTCAAAAGAATGTTGTAATAAGAATATATATATATATATATATATATATACACATTTTTAGTATCAAAAAAATGTTTACAGTTTTATTGCATAATCATATTTTTTATTAATATAAATAGTGGTTAAATTCTTTTGCATTAAAATATAAAATTTATGCTCTTTTATAATTTTATATTTTATATTTTTCAATAGATATCAAAACCAAAAATTCCATTAACATATAAATTTAAAAAATGAAGTTGGATAAAAACAATTACAATAGCTACATCACTGTTATAAAGAGTATAGAAAACACAAGATAACTTCATAATGTAGGAAATAGATGGCCTTGATTGAACTTTTAAAGATGTGTTTGTTGTGAATTAGGTCATAAATAGTAGAAAGAAATCAATATGATTTACAGTATTTTGAGATGTCTTTAGATATATTTATATATATATAGCGAGAGAGAGAGAGAGAGAGAGAGATAGAATGTAACATTTGATTAGCAATAAGACTAATAATTGGAATAAGCTAATGTAATGAATGAGTTTCTTTAGAACTAGTACAAACTACATTGAAGGGTCTCTTCTCATCTGCTGTTTTTTATAATGGCACCTGGGTTTTATTTAGAACATGGTATTATTTCTCAAACATGTGCAAAATTATATTAATTGCAATTTCCACAAAAAAAATTCTACAATTTTTGAATTCTAACCAGATACAAACCTAAACCAACTAACATAGCACAATATCTTAATATTCATAAATGGAGAACAAACAATAGGTTAACTTACATGTGCATTTTGATGATGTCTTCTGCACAATTTAAACTACATAGATAAGATTTTCATATATATATATATATATATATTAATAACATTCAAATTATTAACCGAATACTTAATAAATATCGGTAGTTTTACATAAAATATTTGATGAAAAAAACTGAATATGATTTGAGACATGTCTATCTTGGCCTGATGAGTTTTCAAAGCACCACAGTTATGTCAATAAAGTGAATAAATACTGATGATGACTTTTGAATTCTTTTTGATACGTTTTTTTTTAAATGTTTATTATTGAATCAGGTTTATTATAAGATTCCTTCTGAAGTTTATGTGATAAACTTCTAAAAGCGTCTTCTGTATAGCAATGCTTTGTGATTTCCTTGAGAGGTTATATCTCAGATTAAAGCAGATAACAAAAAATAAAAATAAAAAATCTTCAATACAGTTATAATTGAAGTGATTGATGTGTTTGAAGACAGTTTCTTTTTGTGGACTTCTTTTGGATTGATGACAGTATACTTTCATTTGCTTAAAAATTATTTCAACCTCAGAAATACTTCAACTCTGATGATTTAAGTTTTCATAAAAGTTCAATTTTAAGGTGCTTTATCCTTCAAAAACTTACACTAAAAAATCGTATGAACACTGAACAAACACCTTCTTTGAATTAGGCCTTCATTTTTTGAATGGCAACAAAAATTTCATCAAGATTTTTTATTTTTCTTTTTTCAAATTAGAACAATGAACTTTTGGTTGAAGCAATTAAATATATCTTCAAAATTTAATCAGTAAGACCTCACCAACAACTTCAATTAAATAAATAGAATAGAACTGTGATAAAATATTTAGTTTTTGACGTTTTTACAAGTGAAATCCGAAGTAAATTCTATCAGAGAGTCATTTTCTTTTCAAATAACGTTTATTTCAAGCTTTAATTTTTTTATAATTTTTAAATTCCTAAAATTTTGACCGAATACAATTCCTATTTTTCAATTTAAAATGAAATCTGTCATTACATTACTGATTTGAGTTTCTCATTCATGTACTCGAATTTTTCATTTCATCAACTCCAGACAATTTTGAAGTGTCTTTATCATTAAGGTCATTTGCATTAAAACTTAGAATGTTATTAGTTTTCAAGAAAATCATTAGGTAATGAAGACAACTTAATAATAACATGATTGCATTTTTAAAATAATGTTTTCAAAAATTTTATCATTAATAAAATTTTGCAAGATGGCTTTTGTACAAAAATAATTATAAAATAATTTAGAAAATAATTCTTGTATGTTTATAATAATTTAATTTAATTTTTTTATATATATAAGTTTTTCATTGAGCATAGCCAAAAATTCTCAAGTAATCTTCATTTGAATTTTTAGTGGTGGTTAGTATTATTTAATTTATTTAACCGTCTATGGCTGCATAACATAATTATTTATATCTCAATGCAACTAAAATTTACAAGTTTTTATTATTATTTAAGATGCTGTTTATTCCAAATTTAACTAATAATAGTACAATTTGATGTCATTTAGTGTATATTGTGTCAAAATTGGAGATAATTTATTCAATTTGTTTATAATTATTTCTCATGTGTATGAGTTGCTTCTTGTGGTTCAACTTTCTAGTTATATGTTTCTTTCATATATGTATGTTTCTTATATAAAATAGCTCAAAGAATAAATCAACAAGATAAACTAGATAAGACAAAACTATCTTTGTTTGGCTGCATATCTCATTGTTTTCATCAAAAGTGAAGTAACAACTCAATTTTTAATTAATCAAAGATCAAAAACTACATGATGTTGTTGCAAATTGCTGAGAGTAGTACTGCAAGATCACTAGGCATGGAGCTTAGAAGCTTCCAATTGAAGTTGTGAAAACCAACATTGTTTCTATGGATTCTATCTATTAACATTTTTGATATTAAGTTTTTGAGGGAGAATTGGTTTGGGTATGGATTGGAAAGAACATGATTGGATGCTTGGTGTTGCTATAAGCATGAAGAAAAAGAGTGTAAGAATTAGGGGTGCATGGAGTTAGATATGGTGCTTGGTTTTGGTTTGTAAGTATAAAAGAGGACACAATTGATGCTACAACAGTTGCACTAGATGATCATCCTTCTCATTTTTTTTTGCTGAAGTTAATGTACAAAAAATGACATTTGACCATGCCAGCATAGAGCAATGGCTAGGACTTGAACACAATATGTACCATATGACTAATCAAGTTTTCAAGATTTTGTGACAATGACACAGGTTCAACTAGTATATATGTATATACACATACACACACACACACACACATATATATATATATATATATATACATACACACACACATATATATGAAGTATGTACATATAAATCCTTGTTGGTACATTGGTAATATTGGATTGATTCTACACATGTGTCAATTTCAATGGCTATTCTTAAAAAATATTATTTTTGGTTAATTTGTTTCCCCCAAATCTCCCAACAAATTATCCTTCACATGATAATCCCGTTTTCCCCTCAGACTCAAATAACACAAGTTGCAAAGAAGACACGTCACGTTCTAATCATACAATGGGTTTGAAAGGAGATATTTGCAGCAAACACGTCCGAAAATCCAACCTCCAGAAAGTTCCTCATTCTTACTTTCCAGGGTAAAACAAAGTTACGCCGTGGCGCGGTAAAGATTGCCAGGAAGGAGTGTGGTGGGGCCTGGCTGGGGCCTGGCTGGGGCAGCGAATGCAGCGCAAGGCGTGTGTCTGTGTGTGTTTGTGTAAGTGACGGGCGTCGCGTCTCGGCCTGTCTTCACCTGCTTTCATCTCGGTACAATCGTACGCATCGTCCTGTAACATTCACTGGGCGTCGCTAATCAGCGTGGCATTGCGTTCAAGTCATGGTGATGCGTCTCTGCGATCTGATGTTAATGCAAAACATCGTGCCGTTGCAGTCAGGTTGGGTCATGGAAATATCTCGAACCATGGGGGGATGGATGGTAGTAGGGAGCGATAGAGAGAGGTGTTAGGAGGGACAAGGGCAGGAGAAAGGAAGGGAAGGGGGAGAGCTAGTGGGAGTGTGTACCAGTATCTGGAGGTTGATGGGGATCGGTAGCTGAACACACACGCACAAGTTCTGGCATGCATTCATTACGCCTCACCGTTTCTCCTCTTTGGTGATGAGGCTCCTTCATGTGGATTACTCTTGCCTCGGGCCATCATCCATCCTCCAAGCTACCCATGCCATCCTTGATTTTAATGCTGTACTGTAAAACCATATCTCTGGGTACTTATTCTGAATATGATATGCAGAGTCAGGTGCAGCTCACGTTCAGTCGGTTCCGTGCCTGCTGGCGGACACCATGTGGTGTGCTGGTTTTTGTGAGGGTAAAAGCTGGGTGTTCAAGGCCGCGGGTGTCTAGTTGCTAGTGGAGGAAATTGCGGCTGAAACAGCGGGGTACACTTGAAGAATGACGAAGGGTGCCTGGAGGTAGGTTGAGCTACAGGCTGCTGTTCATTGATGATTAAGACACAAATAGAGCAAGTAGGGGCCGATTTCGAAGTGCCTCAATGCTGTAGGTTTATTAACGCAGACAGAGAGGGTCCCACATTGTGGCTTTCTGTGCTTTGTCAACCAGGAGGTAGTTGCCAGGTTTTTTGAGGAGTGTTTCGAGAGTGGTTGGAGGATGTTTGGTTGCGATGCAGTTTTGTACGGGCGTTGAAAATTTTACAATGGTGCACTTGACCATAGTTGGCGTCTCATGCTGGCTTGAAGGGTGGGTATCATAGAAGTGTTCAAAAAGGTTGTGTTGAGAGCAAAAGTGCAGAGTTTATAAGTTTTTTGTCAAGCCAATGTGACAGCTCCTTCGCCCGTGAGTTGGGTCTCAAGGTGCATAGTGTGCAATTCTGCAGAATGAAAACCCATTTGTGATGACCGTTGCACTGAGATAGTACAGGAAAATAGTGAAGGAGAATGGTTTGTTATGATAGAAAGAGTTGTAAGCTCTTCTTGATGACGCGATCAAGGCGACAAACAGTCTGCCTGTAGAATATACTTGAAGTGCCTGCATGAGTTTGCATGCGAAACTAAAGAAATTACTGCCTGCCTGCTTGTTATCTTCATGTGACGATCTTGATCACTGCAGACAGTATGTGAAGACGAGATAGCTGGCTAGATATAAACGTGAAGGCAGAGTTTATAAGTTTCAGGCTCATAAATTGATATAACCATCCCAGCCAGCAAATTTCCGTACCGACATCTGATTCGTAAGTTCTGAAATTTCGATAAGTGACGTGAAGCATTTGCGATCGTGAAGGAGGGCGATTTCAGATTGATCGGAGGAGGCTAGAGTAATCCAGTCCGTCACAACCCTGTTTGTCAATGTAATTCAGGATCATCAAAGTATCTCTCAAGACTTCTCAAGTGGCGTCTTCAAGAGAATATTCGTCGGCGTGACATGGATGAATTATGAAAAGATCAATGAAGGTTGAGGCTGTCAAGATACACTAAGAATAGCAACTTTCTCATCCTTGTATGCCATCAATTTGTATCCAAGCCGCAGTGTCTGAGCTATTGGGGAGTTGAAAAGAGCTTGTTGCTGGAAAGAGGTCGAAGAAAGTGTATTTGAGCAATGCCAATGTAGCTCGCAATTGATTTCCAGCTGGCGCCAGAGCTTGGACGGTAAAATCAAAGTTTGTTCTGCGGCACTCTGCGCGTTATACCAATCAAGATACTGCATGTAGTTAGAATTACTTGATAGCAAAGTGGTAAAATCAAGAGCGTTGTGCAAGATGACTAGAATGCGTTGTACATGGGAGGGTCCTGGCTGCGCCTCTCCTATTCTGCTGGTCTTGATTCTTGTTAATGTCGCAGCTGGAGAACTGCAACAGCCTAGTTTGATTGCAGATATAATTCAGCGCAATACGCTTCAACTAGATATTGGACGACGAGCTACACCAATGAACTCCTGGCGCCACGTGAAACCTGTTAGTGAGAAACACCCGACCATTCGGAAGGAACTTGCCAATGGGGTCGGAACAATTCATGCCATTATTTCGCACAGGTGATAATTCACGCTTTTATTTCATTGTGGCCTCATATTGCTTGCATTTGGTTCAATATTTGGAGTGAAACTTGAAGTTATTTGAACCAATAGTACTTGGGGTGACCCAAACAGTGTGGGCAGAAGAATCTTTAGTCTATAAGACATAAGCTTAGGTATTCATCACTCGCAATGTTACAGAAATTTTCATTCAGAAAACTTTAATTTCACATGTTGCGTTGAAGATTTTTAAACACTGATTAACACATTCAACTGAATTGTAGAGATGCCCCCTCATCACCATTCCGGTTGAGCAACAGAACTCGCGCGGAGCGGATCCATGAAACCATTTTGAGAGACAACTTGCGTGTAGCTTCCATTCATGCCCGTATCAATCAAATGGTGAATGGCGTTTCAACAAGTAACTCTCACGATCGACAGACGAAGGTCCCATCACAGGACTTTCAAGCGCCGGTCATTTCAGGCTTGAGTTTGGGTAGCGGAGAGTATTTCATACGCGTTTCTGTGGGCACACCTCCCAGAGGCATGTACCTTGTCATGGACACGGGAAGTGACATTCTGTGGCTCCAATGTGCTCCTTGTGTGAGTTGTTACCATCAGTGTGATGAAGTGTTTGACCCATACAAATCATCTACATACTCTACTCTTGGGTGCAATTCCAGGCAATGCTTGAACTTAGATGTCGGCGGATGCGTAGGGAATAAGTGTCTGTACCAGGTCAGTTGTGCTTCATAAACTTAACATTTCCTGAAATTTTGCAGACGTTTTAAACAAATAACAGTCCGGTTTATGTACACTGAGAGGCTAAACAGGTGAGTGAAATCATATTGGTTCATATAGCAATGTAATAACTTCGTCTGATAAATCCGTATGTTTTACTTCGTCAATTTTATTTTTTATTTTTTATTTTTATTTTTCTTTCCGTTATCTTCAACCTACGCAAAGTGCATTTCTCTTACGTAGATGATTGTTGCCACTTGAGTTTTTGTGGTATATAAGATTCCTCTGCTTTTCACAGTCTTGCATCGCCAACACTCCAATCTTGAGAATTCTGGTTTCGTTAGGTGAACTTGATGTCCGAGTTTCACATGCAACGATCAAAAGTTAGTGATTCTTGGTGTTGCAGGTGGACTATGGAGATGGATCTTTCTCGACTGGCGAATTTGCCACTGATGCTGTTTCTCTGAATTCGACCTCAGGAGGCGGCCAAGTTGTGCTGAACAAGATTCCTCTTGGTTGTGGACACGACAACGAAGGCTACTTCGTGGGGGCTGCGGGGCTTCTGGGGCTGGGTAAAGGGCCGCTATCATTCCCCAATCAAATAAATTCTGAGAATGGAGGCAGATTTTCCTACTGCCTTACAGGTCGAGATACTGACTCGACTGAACGATCCTCTTTGATCTTTGGTGACGCAGCTGTTCCACCTGCAGGTGTGAGGTTCACACCCCAAGCCAGCAACCTACGAGTTTCCACCTTCTACTACCTGAAGATGACGGGGATTAGCGTCGGGGGCTCTATTCTCACCATCCCCACAAGCGCCTTTCAACTCGACTCACTTGGTAACGGAGGCGTCATAATAGATTCTGGCACCTCTGTCACTCGTCTACAAAATGCCGCATATGCTTCCCTTCGTGAAGCCTTCCGCGCTGGCACTTCGGATTTGGTCTTAACAACTGAATTTTCCCTCTTCGACACATGCTACAATCTCTCTGACTTAAGCTCCGTCGACGTTCCAACCGTCACCCTGCATTTTCAGGGAGGTGCTGACCTAAAACTCCCTGCTTCAAACTATCTCGTTCCAGTCGACAATTCTTCAACCTTTTGCTTGGCTTTCGCTGGCACCACCGGACCCTCCATCATTGGCAATATCCAGCAGCAGGGCTTCCGTGTCATCTATGACAATCTCCACAATCAAGTTGGTTTTGTACCAAGCCAGTGCGATTAGGTGACCCAAACCCCCTAGCTTTTTATATTTAGTTTTTCTAAAACTTTTCATATTTGTACCTGATTTTCTTTCTATGCCATCTCAAGTGGTATGTGATGCTTTGGCGCTATGATTTTATCCTGTCACACATGCTTTCAGATCAAACCTTTGTGGTAGTGATAATATCATATTCCTCATGCATTTGCTTGGGCTGGCGGTTCAGGGCAAGCAGGAAGAAATCAATTGTTTGAGCCTATATCGAGCTTAGAACACTTAGTCCAGAGGATCTAGGGGAATTAATTGCTTTACATATACATAGAGGTTAAGTTCTAATGAATTGTAATCGGAAGTTTCATGGTAAGGTTTGGCCACACGTAGCTATTGAATTGCACGCAGCCACCGTTGAACAAAGTATCTGAAAATGAAAGATATTGAGACGACGTGGAGAAGCACTACGAAGTGGTTGTTTTTATGCTGCTAATGAATCGAAGTAAAGGACAATACGTCAGCCAAAAGCTTGCAAGCTTGTTCTTTGATGCGTGCAATGCGTGCAATTTTGTCTATTTTCCTTCGGAGCAATTGTCCAAGTCAGTTCGCATCAATGCGTCCACAAAGTTGTTATTCTCTTTCTCTAGAGGGACTTGTTGTGTTGTCCCTGGGTTCAGCAAGCTTCAACTGGCTAAGCTTAGAATTTGGGAGAAGCTAGCTAGCAAGTACCCGGTTTTGTGCAAGCCCTGTCAACCAGTTCCATACCATTACAAGACACAAGCATCAATTGCCCGATGAAAACCAGTCCACCCCTCAATACAAATGTCAGTGGAGGGTGTTGTTTAACAGGGAGAGCGCGGTGCTAAGTGATTTCCTGAGGGTAACCGATTTTGAAATTGCAAATACAAATCTTCAAAATGAAGCACGCACTGCACTGGACGAGATAAATGATAAGTCTTCAGGAAACATAGATTTCAGTAGAAGGGAAGAGTGAATGCGTGAACCCACTATTGCAAAATGAAGTCGTAGGGGATGGATGAGGTTTTGAGGTCTGGATACTCGCCACTTGCCATTTGCTTTTCATTTTCCAACCACAAGATCGTCCCTTGCCACAGCCATCAAATAGTTCACGGATTTTTGACCAATAGTTTCCCGGAAAGCTTCAGAATGACACTAAGTTCACCTGTGAAGGATGCGAAAGTTATTCGGCTTTCTCAAGAGCCTATAACTTTCGTCCAGTGTGGCTCCATCAAAGCTTACTTGTGAATGTGCAATGATATCTTGTCCATTTATCCTTCTTCTGCTTCACCCGTTGCTTTGCTCTCCGCCAATTGAGCTCCAGTTGGCGATTCCGGACTCTACTCTGTGCGTTGTCATACTCGGAATTGCGTCCAGCAGGGGTTCATGGGTGGTTAGGTGATTACATTGTTTTGTGAGATTGTCGCAACAGAACATTGTAGAGTTGGCGATGGAGACGATGTTGGTGCAAGGTTGTTGCACGCAGAAGTTTTTGGTTACAGCTCCTGTGGCTCTGCAGCGCAAGGGATATTCCGATGTAGGAGGGGTGTCGAGATTGCGGAAGCATCATAGTCCATTGACTGGTTTATCTCTTGTAGTTCGTCCCGTTCAGGTAATCCTTTTCAGCTCCATAATCTGTGCCATTTAATTCTGGTTTTGATAATCTGGGGTGCTTGTGGAGAGGATGGACTTTGGGCGTGAATTGGCAATTGCGCTGGATTGGGGCTCAAGAGCGCAGAAATTTGAACAGAATTTTTGGGTGTAGTAATTCCGAGTCCGCTATGGCTGCAGTCATTCGGTTAAAGTTAGTGCACCGGACCACGTCTTCGTATAGCTGTATCTATGGAACGCCTCGATTGAGGGATTCAAAATGCTCCTGTTTCACGAATCTATTTGAGGTTCATTGGATTACAAATTGGTGGTACTTATGAGGTATATAAACCCAAGATTATTGAGGAGACTGTCCGTGCGATGCGGAAATTTATCTTAACTTGAGAAGGTTTCTCAACATTGTGAAGTCAACTTCGTGGGTGTCTGCAGAGCCTGCAGGAGTTGCACTAATCTCCAGTTACTTAACTATTTGCAATAACGGGAAACTCGGGCGTATGAACCTTGAGGATATTTGTCTATGGCTAAACATGTAACCTTCACTTGAGAGACTAAGATCTGTCATTTTTCTTTCGGCTGTCATTAGTTTTTGTGTCTACATTTAGCATGTATATCCCAATCGTAAAATCGTGATCCTATTCATCGTGCTCACGCTGTAAAATATCTAAATATAGATTTATGTAAAGGAACCCTCTTTTAATTTTTTCAAAGTAGCCGAAGCAATTTGTCCCCACATTCCCATGTCCAGTCGCTGATGGGCTAAGCGCAGCAACACTTTTGGTTTTATTTATAACCAACTTTATGTTAGGTTGACGCATGTATCAGACACTCGTTAATTTAGGTCCTATCAGTTGTTCACCGCTTTTTTTGCTCGTTTGGGTTTTGAACAAACAGGCTCATGATGCGAAAAGAAGATATGGTCAATCCAGTATTGTTGCAAGTGCCGTCTCGACGTCAGCCGCTCCTGAATCAGCTCCCGCCCCTCCTAAACAGGTGCGTGTTAACTTAGAGAGGTTTTTGTTTAGCTTGCGGCATTAGCGATGACTTGTTCGCAATTTCGCAGTAATGTCGGTTTCTGAATGACAGGAGTTTTCGAGTTAATTATGGATGTTATTTACACGGTGTGGAACTTGGTGAGCTTGCAGGAGGCAGATGTTAGGGTGCAAAAGATTACCGATGATACGATTATTTTACGATGTTGCAGCTTGGAGCGTTTGAAGTTTGAGGTTTATTTGGATGACCTACCATTCTTTACGTGTGTCCCAAAAAATATGATGCATGTGGCTGAGCATTTTAACATAGATCTTTTGATCGTGGACCAAGTATGTTAACTTCCTCTGGGGTTGGTTGACGCAGATTGAATATGGACTTAAACGTGGTACAACTGATAATTCTTACATCATTAAGGGTGGATCCCAAACAGCTCTGATTGATGTTCCTGATCAGTCTTTTACCGAGGGCTTCATAAGTTCCCTCAAGTCCACGATCGATCTCAAAGACATAAGATACTTGATCATAGGGCATATCAGCCCAAAGCGTATAGTGAGCGCGACAGCTTTGGCGGAGGCCTTGCCCGAAGGCGGTACTTGCATCTAAACCTTTTTACTAAACATATCTTGTTGTATTGGAGGTCCTTACCTTTCCTACGTATGTGCATTCCCGTGCTGTTTCCAAAAATCATGCTGAATTAGGAAACTTATATTATACTTGGAACGTTTTATTGATCTGCCTCGCAGCAAGGCCAATTGAAATTTACTGTTCCAACCCGGCTGCACAACAGTTAAAGGGTGCCCTCTCACCTGAAATATTGGAAAAATCTTATCGAATCAATATTGTGAAGGGTGACGAATGCCTTGACCTTGGAGGAGGTGAGAATGCCCTCTTGTACACAGGTCGCCAAGCTTGAAACATTTAAAAAAGCGGTTGCTTACACAAATTATTTGATCGTAGCAGTTCCTATGTCTTCGCACTCTGTTTAGAATCTTGAGATAGTTCTGATGACCAACCTCGTAAGGTACAGGTCTTTGATCGTGACAGCTTTACCTATTATATTAGGTTTAAAATATTTGAGATAGAGCCAAACTAATATTGTACTGTGTGTGCAGGACACAAGCTGCAGTTCCATCTGACGCCCACACCAAGGTGGCCTGATAGCTTGTGTGTTTATGATCCTGCTAATCAACTTCTCTTCACCAACAAGCTCTTCAGGTTTCCATCTTCTTCTTATTCATTTCAGTCCTGTGTTCACCTAAAAGTTACACGGGGATCGACACCCTTGAATCTGATTGCAAATTGTTGGCACGTATTATGCATATCGTAATGTGGATGTATTTTACAGGTCTAATTTCAACTACATCGTGTACTAGAATACATGCTTACACTTACATTGTATGGAGCAAGGTTGGCTGACATTGGCTTGCAATTGCTTTACTTGTGTTAGTGCGCATACATGCCGTGAAAGTGGCTTTGATGTTGAAGGATGGGAGGAATACGTGGAAGACTGGCGGTTTTTCTTCGAGTGCATGCTCTCGCCTGTTCCAAAGCAGGTTTGTCATGCCTATGTTTTCCGTCATACTTGATAATCTTCTGTAGCCGTGATTGTTCATCAAGTGTCCTCCAGCTCTTATCTAACACGCTAATTGAATCGCAGGCTCGAGCTGCTCTTGAGAAGCTTCCAATCGTGGCACAGTTTTCAGTTCCCAGCTACAGTGGGAGACAAGGTCTTGGTGTTTTGAAGGTTAGGATCTACAGTGCCTCACTTATTTCTGAACATCTAGAATATCTCCAGTGAATGATCCTCCTAAACTTTACAAATCACTCTGACTAAGCATTCTGTACCTTCAGGCTGACCTGCAATACGTGATATCTAGTGTGTTATCTGCTCTTAAACTACCCATCGGCACAACAGCGCTTTTGTCATCAGGAAGTGCTCAAGGGAAGGATTTGGTTTGTGCGGCGTTGTGCCCTCTCCATGGGCCAGTAGTGCGGTCCTCGCTTACTGAACTTGTTCGTGAATATAGGGTGGTAAGTCCTACGTATTGAATTTTAAATTATTGTTTTTTCTTTACCATTTTCTTACACCTGTTGAATGTCACGGATGTGTATCCACGGGTCCTTAAACTACTCGCTTTATCATTTATTTTGCAAATCTGCGGATGCAGTGGACTGAGAAGAAGCTAAAAGAGGTGGAAGAGGCCACTATTGCTGTTATCTATGCTTCTGCATATGGAAATACGGCTGCTCTTGCTCAGGCTATCAGGTTAGATTTTAGTTGATCGTGTTTGGAACTCGAGGAAGCTTTCAATACGTTATGAACAACCTGTTATTTCTTTAGGGACTCACCAATCGTGCTGTCTGTCAGTTGCATAATACAGAGCTAATTGTGGAAAGTTTCGTCTTTGGTTGCGGATATTAATATTAGAGATGAATGGTTTTGTGCTACAAGGAATGACCAGAATTCTATATTTTTTTTCTTTGTATGAAGCCGTGGTATAACCAAAGTCGGAGTTGGAATCGAGAGTGTGAATGCGGAGATCTGCACTGGTGAGGAGCTTGCATCCATAATCAAGTCATGCAGTGGCTTTGTAATCGGCAGTCCTACACTTGGTGGTCACATGCCTACTCCTGTAAAGGTAAATTTGATTCGAGACTGAACTCAAGGGTCTTCTTGCTCTCGAGGCAAACTTGACGATGCTACAGTTCATACCTACTTAAATAGGAGTGCTCTAAATTGGTATTTGTAGTTTAAATTAGCGATTTCTATGACATGATCTGAAGGCCCACTTTTTATTTTCTATTTTTTATTAACTGCTTATTATTAGAACACTGCTAAGAAGTTGATATTTCAAGTTTCAACCCAAGAATTTATTCTACTATTTACTTAAGATAACATAGTCACTGTCACAGGTTTTAGAGGTGTTTTATGCGATCTTTGGCTTGATTCGTGTAGTCTGATCTATTTACATCTAGATCCTTGGACTTTACTTACAGTTGATTGCAACTCGATTCCTATTCATCAGGACGCGTTGGGCGTAATCCTCAAAGATACCGATGCAAGATCCAAGCCTTGTGGCGTGTTTGGCTCTTTCGGGTGGAGTGGCGAAGCAATTGATGAAATTGAGCAATTCCTCAAAGATGGCGGTTTTCAATTTGCCTTTCCTGCAATCCGGTGCAAGTTCAAAGTAAGTTATCACAATTTGGGGCGAAATAAATATTATTAAAAATCGATTTCATTGGATACATTTGAGCTGGGTCAGCATGTTCAGTTGGTGAAGCGATTTCCATTGATCCACCTTATAAGAGCAATCGCCAGAAATTCACTACCAGTTCCTGCACCATCTGAAATAATTTAGAAAAATTGAAATCTGGGTTTGTTGTTGCATCTCCTTTCGTAAGTCCTCTAATTTATTTCTTACCCGAAAGTTGTGAAGTTGAAATTTGAGGTCTTACTATCATGGTTTCGGGTGTATTGACACTGCAGCCAACCGAGGCAACGCTACAGACTTGTGAGGAGAGTGGCACAGATCTGGCGCAAAGTGTCAAGAAGACCATCCTGAAGCAGAAGCGAGCTACTGGTGGCCCTCAGTATGTAGTTGCGTCCAATGTCGAACAGGTAATATCCATTTTTCAAAAGTAACTAACTTTTTAACAAATGAGTTCATTAACTTAACAGGATCTAGAACCTGAGAATCTCGTGAAAAGTTTTAAGAAATCCATAGGTTTTAAAGCATTGACGTTGAATAGTTGATGTTTGCAGGCAGTGGGTAGAGTCGTTGGCTCCCTTTGTGTGCTTACTGCAAAGGTTGGAGATGCAGAGAGCGCTATGCTGGCCTCCTGGGTAAGCCAGGCCAGCTTCGTCCCACCTGGGATCACCATTGCTGTAAGTCTGAAGTGCATCCGCCCCTCTGTTGTGCTTTTATATTTAGGGATTTTTAGCGGCAGTTCACTGAAGAAATAAGTTTTACACTCAAGAAATACAACATTGTTGTTTCCTCAGGTTGCCAAGGACCGCGCTGTTGAGGGTTTAATACTTACAGGTAGCAAGTTTGCTATCAGTGTACTAGGACAAGGAAAGAGTGGGCCCGTAAGCAAGCAGCTGTTGAAACCGTTCAAACCTGGCGAAAACCGTCTGGATGGATTGACAACTAAACAGGCCGAAAGTGGCTTGTACTATCTCTCTGATGCGGTAAAGTTCTGTAAAGTAGTAAAAAAAAATTGTAATTGATTGCTATTTGATGATACCAATTGCGAATAACTTGATGCAAAGGTCTAAGATTCTCGTTTCTGTCACATTGTGAATATTAATCAATTACTAAAATTTCTTTCATTAACAAATTATAGAAGTAGTGTCCCTGTCTGACCAATATTACTAGGTTTTTGTATCATGGTGTTAATGAAAAAGAGGAACGGTTCCAACCATTTGCTTTAGCAGAGTTATATTCTCATAAGTGCAATGAATCTCTTTTTCTATGGTTCCAGATTGCATGGTTAGAGTGTACGGTGAAAAGCCGTATTGAGACCGGAGACCATTGGGTACTCTATGCCACTGTTGATTCCGGCAAACTCGAGGTACATCTTCCTCTACTATTGGCTTACCTGACCACTTTTAAGAATAACGAGCGCCCAAGAGTCTTTCTAAGACTATCTATTAAATGGTGAACGGATACATTCAGCTAGCTCTTGGTGTTAGATCGAACCCGTTATAAGTTTTTAAAAAGGACAAGAAACGACCTCATCTATATTGATTATCCAATAAGCTGTATGAAATTAGAATTTGATTCAAGGTCTCCTCGCCAGAGTGTGCCTGAGTTGATGGTCTTCCTTGGTGGTGTGCAGGATGCGCAAACGTTGACTGCTGTCCATCAGCGCAAGACGGGTGCTCGTTACTGAATCCAGGCACCCTGTAATGGCCCTGTAAAGCTTATGTAATATGTTCCATCACTTTTTCATACAATCAGTGTATCTTTTGTGCCGTTAGTTATGTAAACATGAAGCAAATCTTTTCCTGAGGCTTCGATGTAGAGTGTGAATCTCTGCAACATTTCATGCTTTTACATACAAGTATTTTCACGTATTGTGATGATGGACACTGATACTTATGATGAGTTCACTGCTAAATGTGTTGATTTGACCCTGTTATTTTGCCAAAAACCTTGATCGACTTATTTGCAATGAAATATATGAGATTAGACACTATGAAAAAACCATTGTAGACGTGTGGATTTGTGTTGTACACATCTGATTAATTGAAAAAGTATCTTAGATGATTTTACAGATTTAACTGTTAAAACCAAAGATTTTTCAACCTCATTATGTCAAGGTGATCAAATGATTACTTTTTTTTGATGAAGATAAGCAATATTGTATAATATTGATTAAATTGGGAAAAGCAATTTTGTGCATTTCATGTCAGACCAATTAATTTACTCATATATAGAATGTAAGTTGGGAAATACAAATATTAACGTTGTCTACTAAGTACAATTCATAAATTATATTCATTATTGACTAACAAAGAGGAACATGGACAGTTGTAATCTGTTTCCTTTAATATGACACATTCATTTTAAAAGTTCTTGCTTGAACTGCTCTTTATTCTTCCTTCAGTCGTTCTACGCTCATCATTCACGAACTAAAATTTTGCTGAACACAACTTCAAGTTTTCGAAGATTCCATCCTATTACACAATTAATGAGAACAAAGAGTCTCTAATCATGCCCTTAGTAGATGCTGTGAACAACCATTGGTCGATTGAAAATTTACAACTTGGCTTGAAATGGAAAGGCATTTACAACTGCACATCGTGTATACTACGTTGTTGAATTTTACTACTTAATTTAAATCTACAAATCACCTACCTTCCAGAAAGGCGCTTGTAGTTCAGGAGGTGCACTCGTTGGAAACCAAATAATCAAACTAGAATTAGCATCCTTTGTCAAGACGCACATATCAGCAAAAAATTATCTCTTTCATATTTTGCTAGTTAAATGAATGGTAGATTTACAAGCGAATATGTGCCGCTCAAGCAATAGATTTGAAAATGTGATTCTAAGCTCACCTTATCAAGCAGAAAAGTTATGGGAAAGGGAGATGCCCTCCCAATTAAGATAACATCGTAAATTTAGAAAACCCCAGTAACACTATTTATTACAATAACACAATTTGTCACCAGAACTTCCAGCTTGGCGCTTCCACACTTACAGGATCTACCTTTGATCGCCTGCAAATAGCACACATGCCATCAATTCACTGATGAATCTCTGTAATTTCAAACAACTTCTGTATCACAGAACCTGTTAAGTCATATTCTGCTCATTATAGTGCATGCAAGTTGGATAAGCCCAAGCAGTTGGCTAACATTCCGCATTGGTACACAACGGTTAACAAACTCTAATTCAGCAACAAAGTAGCTCAAACAGTTGAAGGAAGTGAGTATGTATACCCGAGATCCACAATGATCACACTGACATTATCTTGTCCGCCTCGATTCTGTGACACAGTCCAGAGAGTAAATTGAACATCTCAGACGAGCATGTCATACGATCTGCTCCACTTCTATTAGCTGAAATTAAAACCTTTCTAGTTCTCTTGTCTTTTAGAGAGTGTGAACACATGCAAATTGGACACAAAGAGGCGGCAGGATGAAGGTTGAACATAAAGGTAAAAGTGGCAGAGTTAGCAGCTGACCAGAGCTTCCTGTGCGATTTCTTCTGATGCGCGCTGCGTCAAGGAAAGAAAACTGTCTTAGTCGACGGTAAACCTAACATCATATATGAATAAACGTGCACTATCATGGAGATGATGAACACCTCATGAAAGATAACCTCCACCACCAAAAGCTCGAATAAAGCATTAGATTTTCTTTACCTGCACATCGCCATGCTCTCTCAAGCCCTTTCTTACGAAATTTACGGCTTCAGCACTGCTCACGCAATACAACTTGATCAGAATCAGTTCTGGAAGCTCCAACTCTGTACAAGAAGTAAAACATCATCATTTTTGCTTACGATCTTAAAAGCACTCTCTGTACCTGTTTAGAGAATCCCAAAGGCCATCCGAGCCCAATATTATGAAATCGACCTCCTCTTGCACCAGCATAGAACTTGTATCTGGTTTAGCAATCAGCCACTCACCACTGATATTTTTCGTCCTCCTGTCCACGTAGATCAGCATATAAGTATTCACTTTATGCCCACCCTTAATAGATCCTGGGGGAAATTTATACAAACCCAACTTAATGCACTCACCCATTAGCGAAACTCTGAGTCCAGCGTTTCTCGGCAACTCCACTATCCAACATCCTGTCACAATACAACTCAAATATAAAATATATGCTTCAGCACAACCAAAAACGAGGAAACCTTTCAAGCACAACGATATGAATCTGTAACATCCAGGTGTAACTTTTTGAGTACAGTGGAAAATTCAAGTGGAACAAATCTAGGAATAAAGTTTGCTCAGAAAATTAGAGCACTGATCACAATAATTACAGAATGCTTGACCTTATTAAGATCTCTTGAACATGAAAATGTCCATCTGGAAGGGATCCTTCCCTAAGGACACATGGACAAGGTTGTTGCTTAAGATTGACATACTTTTGCTTCTGAGTTTTAAAAGGAATGTCGCCAAACGCACGTGACACGGAAAGCGTCCCGCAAACTCGACCATGACTTACCTGCACATGCAGAATTTAGCCTTTAAATTTGAGTCAAAGATAAAGATTACTTGCTTTCTAAATGTCAAAATAAGCCTTTACGAAACAAGGGAGCAAGCAACATGATTCCAATATACGCACCCACCCTCCTGCTTCTTGGATTCTCTTAATCTCCAAAAAAGACTTCTTGTCTCGCCCAAACGGTCGATGATCTGATGTAAGATTCTGAGCTATGCCATTCCTGCTTAAGACCTGCAGCCATAAACATGCAGGTACCTGTTTACATTTTTACCCATCTTCACGCGCCTATTTCAGAGACGAGATCCACTGAAATACCCATGGGGTGCTTCCTAGGAGAATTACAGGCGCTGCCTCTGAGTAAAGCTAATCAGAGGTGGTCACAATAGACCTATCAAACGTACTAAAAATAAAAACCAGTACATAACTTGAAACGCACCGCACGTGAGTCACCCACGTGGGCAACCACAAAACGATTGGAGCGAACAAACAAAACTGTGGCTGTGGATCCAGACTCTGCCTCCTCAATCTTCTTGCTTTTTTCTAACCTGTCTCAGGACAAATTTCCAAATATTAGATTAAGCCACACATGATGCAGTGACGGTGAGGACCAGTTGTCCAGAGAAATCCACTTCTTCTTCCATCCATCATGCCTGCTCTTGACATGACCTACGATTTCATAATGCCCGCTAATACTCATCCACCCTGCCAACTTTCAAATGATTTGATATTATGCTATGCCATAACAAGGGATTCAGCACGAACCGTGATATGAGCCGCTTGTCTGTTTGTAGAAACGCTCGAGATATAGCTTCTTCAGCCTCGTGCAGATCGTCTGACTTTAGTAAACCACCCCCTTTCAGAGCTTTTAAGCACTCTTTATAAAGTTCATCTCTACAAGGACAATTTTAGGTCGTTAAAATTGATACATGATCGATCCAACTAAGACTTCCGCATTCCTACTGAAATGTGCTCTTTCCACGAGTTGATCACGAAATTCTCAATTACTGTTGGGGTAGAGGGGGGAATCTTTGGTGAAAACTTTAAAAGGCGAATTCAAAAAATTATAAACGGACAATCAGCTCCATATCCTTCAATACAAACGTAGCTTTACTGGACAAGAGGCAGTCTGAAATGGAAGAATTAGACGAGACTTCAAATAAGTTAGGTTAATCTGAACTCAGGGACAAGCAACACTGGCTTTTGGTATCTAGTTCCAATTTCACATAATGGTCTAATCTCTCTGTATAATATGAAACAGTCAGTAACCAAAGCATGTAACTAAGCTATCAATTGGTAAAACTCACCTCAAAAATTTAGCTGAAAAGACTCCTGCGTGGCCATCGAATATTGCAGCATACGAGAATCCGTTGGGACCATCTACCACCACCGCAATTTCGTCTTCCATCTCCTCGCGAAGACCTTGCACAGCGCATTGGCCCACAGTCATGGTGCCCACAGACGCGATTTCCTCCTGCTGAACAGATCCAGAAGCCGCCCTTGCACGGCCCGCTTGTGACATCTTGCTCTTTAGGGCAGGTCCAATGGGTACAACAACGAGTTGAGTAGCCAAAGAAGTCCATGATGAGGAAGGGCCGGCCACGGTGACGCTGTTCGGCAAACAACCGGCAGTGCAGGAGAGACGATGAAATACACATGACGAGCAGGAAGTGGCATGAGAGGAAGAAAGGCATTCATGTCGCAGCAAGTGAGAACCCGGTCGCGCAAAATCCATCACCGTCGCCATTTCTGTCTGCGCAACAACACTCCCCGCTCCCAAACTCAGGCTTCTCATTCCCCTGTTGCAATAACTCCCTTGTCGTAATTCCATGAATTTGGCCACACAACCAAACATCAACGCGGAAGCTCTACTTTGCAACTAAATTTGCAACAAGAAATGACTATCTTCATTGTCGACGAATATCCCAAGAGTAGCAGTACTGCCTGCATAGGCTGTTGTACAGCTCCAGCACAGTCGAACTTCATCAATGGATTCTGGTGATGAATTCGTCACCACACTCCAGAATCCAAACGACAACATAGGGTCACTTTGTTCCTCCAACCGCATGTGCGCTTCGAGAGAGGAGAGGCTTATCTCAATCCAGGACGGGAAAAGATAAAAGCCCAACAGTTTAAACTTTTTACATTTTGCTGTTGATGTAACATTAAACCCTGCATCTGCGCAAACGTAGGCTCTTAAGCACGAAGCACCCACAGATCTACGGTGGATCCGAACTCCTGCGAAACAACCACACACTAAAGGAAGCCATTGCACACGCCAAAGTACAGAAAGGCGCAAGAAGCCACGCCACAAATCAGCAGCTCTAAAGAAGCTGGAGATCTACGGTTCTCACTCATCAGGGTATCGATGTTTGCGAGCCATAAAATGGCAAGCATACCCGACAACCACTAAGTTCATGCGATGTCGTGGCTTGTACTATCCCGGTTCTCTCTTCCCCTCCTCCGTATGTGTTTCTGGCTGACGTGCTGACAGGAAGCATCCAAGCCCACTTCCGCTGCATCGTTCTGCTTGGTCTTGAGAACTGGGTCGTAGAAAATCCTCGTGTTTTTATCAAGGGATTAGGCTTGTGCTGCACACAGGGTGACTGGGCCCTCATGGACACGCTATTGCATTCGCGCGCTTCCTGCTTAATCGTTGCGCCCACTGTTGCTGGAGGAAAACTTAGAGAGGGTGGCAGGATTGCAACTGCTGTATGTGTTCCTCGGCAATTGTCCAATTCCTTCAAGCTCCGTTGCTCTATTGAAGAAAGCAATGTATCGTCGTCTCCTTCGGCTGTGGATCTCGCGCCGCCCACCATCGACCTCGAAATTGTTGGGGTGGGATTAAAACTTTCTGAGCAATGTTGAATTATAAATAGTTCCATATCTGCAATATGTTTTTAATTTGAAATTTTCATTGATTGTTCTAGATGTAAGCGTTAGGTGCCAGTTCACTGCACCTTCGCGTTCTCTGATATTTGTCCGTGGTCAAGTGACTCTACTTCGTATCTTTGCCCTGATGGTGGGAGATTCTTAATTGATCACATCGAACCGAAAGACATTGTTCAGAGTGTATCTCCAGCAATGACCGACTGTGTGGGGTTTTAGTAAGAGAGTTTGAGATTTTTTTCGATACTGTTACCAATTCGATACTGCATCTGTGGGTGTGTAGCCGGAGGCAGGCGGTGAGGTAACTACAACTTCAGTTGGGAGTGGTGAGAAATTGCTGAGGAACATCATACTCGAAAACAAGTTGGAGCTCTATGGCCTTTATGTACGATGTGTAATTCTTAACCTTGTTTTTAAAATTTCATTGGGGACGAGGGTTGGTAAGTTGGACAGACCAGCTTTTAGCGTGTGTTTTTGAGAATACTCTCGTCAGTTATGGCGTAAGAGTAAGCCGGCATTGATTTGAAAGGAAACTTCTTACCAAATGGCCGTGTGGGGACGGCATGAGAAACAGGGCAAAGTGATGAACTGCGGGGGTGGTGGCAGCTGTGGTACTTGTGTTGTAGAGGTTAGTTATCCCTTGGCATATCTTCATGCCTGGAACTCGGTGTTCAAAGTGAAGCACTACTGTATTTGCAAGTTGCACGCTGCTTACATGGAGATTCTAATGTTTTGCATTGTTGTGAAGATATTAAACATCCAAAATTGAGACAACTGAGAAGAAGAGAGTACATATTGTGAAAAGGACGAGGAATCATTAGTTGTTTCACTGCAGTATTAGAAATGCTAATTCGGAGGATTTTCAACTTTGGCGGCAGATTTTGGAGGGGAAAGAGCTGTTGAACGAGCGCACTGATACAGAGTACAAATACCTGAAGAAGGTTTAGCTTCTCTCTTCCTATCACAATCGTCTCCTTCGGAACTATTATGAAAGGCAATTCTACTTGAAAACAGAATGAACATTTAACTCAATTCACGATTGCAAGCAACGTGTTGGTACTTGGTTGCCATGTCTGCTGCAATTCCATTCATTTTCTGTTCACTGTATGCAGCATCGTACTAATATTCTACTTGTCTTTCCTCGTGTACAGAAACCCGAGAGCTGGAGATTGTCTTGCCAAACAATTGTAGGTGACAAGTCTAATAGTGGAAAGGTGAGGAACTTTATCTAACTACTCTTCATGCCTTGTTCATAAATGGTTGGATATTTCTTACATTCTGTGAGACGGTGCGATTGAGTGAAAAACAATCCAGCGGCTGGCTCTTTCCGTACCGAACTAATACCCTGACTAGCACAGACCATTTAAGGATACAAATCATTGCTTAATATTTGTTACTGGTATGTCTTGGGATATTATGCAGGTTGTCGTGCAAAGACTTCCCCAGAAGAAGAAGTGAATTTCTAGAGGAGGTGATGACGTCAAGAGGTGATGCCGGTTCATCCTTGTGTAGCATTATAGGTCTTTAATAGCAATTTCTTTTATTGCGTAATTCCATCCAGCAGGTCACATCTGCTTCATGCCAGGAAACTTGTACTCGGGCAACCCGAAAATGTGTGGAAATGAGGACACTCACTGTTTCACGGTGCACATATATGCAATTGATCTTCAAGAAGGTGCATATATGTGTCATCGAGCCTTATTGGTTGATCTTAAACAGTTGATTATATGCAGCAGAATGCCTTTTGTATGTTCTGAACCCTTCCTTTCTGTCATTTTCCCATGCTCAGAACTTGCAAACAGGCTGTTGGTCAGAACCAATTGTGATTCGTGTGTTTCATTCACAACTGATCCTGTTGGCTATTCATAATAAATTTCATTCACGTTCAATTTTTCTGGCTTTGGTTTTGGTCTGTACACGTGTGAATAGTATTGCCTGAATGACAGTGGACGTGAAGTGCCATGCAAGCTGCAGTTCTGAGTTTCACCCTTCAGGATCCTCAAGTGTTGTGACCAGCGAAGATTCATTCAGAGTTTGCTTAGTTGAGGACACATGTCACCCTCATATTCCGTGCAATGAATGCAAACAAATGTAGTGAAAAATCTTTGTGTCTTCAGCACCACTATATCCAAATTGTGGAGGAAGTTGACAAGGTTCAGACACAATCCACGCAAAATGCTCCTCATACTACTGGAAGCTTTGCATCGATGCATGTGGCGTCTGCAACATTCAGCTCTTTCAGATGCCTTCATGACTTCAGAAATTGCATGAGCTACTGTAAGGATTGTAAGGGAGAAGATGCCTGTAACCCACAATTTGTGATGGGTTTTAGCAAAGAATTTAGCATTCATTTCTGTAATTCTTTCAACATGTACGTTCTGGTATGCCATTAGGTAAATAAATCTATTTCATATCTACCAATTTACAAGTACAATGACTTTTTAACATAATGACTTAAGTTCTTAATAACTCAATCAACATGTCTTTATTACCTTTCTTACAAGAGTGTATTTATAAAGAGTGTTTTTACAAGAGTGTATTATATATATATATATATATATATATATATATATGACTTAGTCTACTAATACACCCCATATTGCTACACACATCTATTGTGTCTATACATGCCCAAGACCTTTGATTTGTTGAAGTAGACTATTTTTTCTTTGTTATGTTGCAAGTCTTGGTCTCATCTCCCCCTTTTTTCTTGTCAAGGCAAAAGGACTTGCATAGGGGCAAGGAAAAAGGAGCAAGAGGAGATTGGTACCCATCTTGGGACAATGAATAGGAGGAGATTGGAAAAAGGATCTACATTAGCCAATTAGAGGCCTTAGGTGTGTATAGACACAATGGATGTGCATATAGTAATTTGAGGTGTGCTTATAGCATGAGCCTATATATACATATATATATATATATATATATATATTGTAGCTACCAAAACTTTCTTCAACTAATAGTGGATTTCTCTTAGTATTTGAAAGAAAAAAAAAAATTATATAAAAAAACTTGTAACCATTTTTTAACTTTAAAAATTATAAAATTTCAAAATATCAAATCAATGTTCAACTTCATAATCAAATATCAAACGCTAAAACTTAAACTTAACTTTTGGATCTTTCAACTATATTAATTCAAATCTAATATTGTGAGAAATCTAGGACAATAATTTATTGGATAAGTTTAGATAAGAGACACCATCTTTATTGCAAAATAAGAGATTTCGACATAAAAGAAATAAGGTGTTGATTGAAGAGAAATAATTGCAATAAGAAGAAATAAAAGAAAAGACTTAGAAGCAATTTCCAAAATCTGAAACAATTATGTTAATTAAGACCAATTAATGGAAAGGATTGATTGGCTGCTTACTAAAAATATCTTTAAGTAAAAATTTTAACATCTAAGAAGCAAATTAGTCTTGGTCTAAGAATACTTGGTATTAAGTTTTATTTTTAAATTAAAAATTAAAAAATTAAAATACAAGAAAGTTTTTTCTACCTTGGATAGTCCATATTTTTAAAGGTCTCTATTCAAGGTCGATGTCTACTCCTATAACATAGGATCTTACTAATCCTAAAGCTAAATCTTGAACTCAGATATGATGTTTGTCTTTACTAACTAGATCTAGTCTTATTTTTATTAATTAGGTTTACTTTTGTACTTCTTATCTTCTTTAAACAATATTAATTTTAAACCAAATGTATTTTTTTATTTTTATTTTATTTTTTTTACTTTTAATTTTAAATCCATTGTATTAAAGCAAATGATCATCACTAATTGATAGTATACTTAACATATATATTAAAATAAAATTATAAATCTTATTATTAATATTTTTTATTTATAATAAATTTGAATTGATGAAAAAGTAAAAATAAGTTGTTTAAATAAAATCTCAAAAAAAATACTTCAATATTAGACATTGATTCAATAAATATGAATTATTATTAATTATAATCATAAAAATTGTATTAATAGTATTATTATCAATACTAATAATAAAATTAATAATATTTTATCAAAAAAATAAATATAATTTTTTATAATCGCTAATATACTTTAGTTGTTAAATTAGACTTTGAAGTAAATTTTTTATAACTTTTATTTCTTCCTCTATAGTATAGTCTTATATGAGTGGATGAAATAAATGGTATTAAGAGAATAGAAGGAGCCAAAATCTTAATTTAATTAAGATTAGTATTTAGAATCGATAATACAATAGAATAATTAAAAGATATAGCTATCAATAATGTAATGACAATATTCTCTCCTATTAAAAAAATATTTTATAAATAAGGTCTTGCAAATAAAAAATAAGGCATGTTTACCTAGCTTAGAATAAAATTTATCAATATAAAGGCATTAGAAATCACGAACATGAGTGATTTCATTTTTTTTCTTTTTTAATATATAAATGGAATATATCCAATGTATTAGTAGAGTGTAAAAGTTACAAAAACTATTTAATTCCTTATACTCAAATTCTCAACTGAGAATACTATAAATGTTGAAAAACTATCAAGGCAAGTTTATCTTTGCTTTTATGTATGATTACCCTACATTGAGGTATTCTAAAATTTTATTTGATTACTACTCAATATCAAAAATTGAATATGTGGTTAATCATTCAAGAATTATTCTATCTCTTAAGGAGAATAGACACTTCTTACAAGTACTTTATTAATTATATTGTGACAAATTTCTAATATGTTTGTCTATATTTAAAAAGGCCGTGCTAAATTATGCTTCTAGTGTGGAGTGTACTTCATATTTTATTTTCAAAGGCAAACTTATTGAGTTAGATCTAAATAGTTCATAAAAAACTATCCATTAATAAAGACCAAATCTTTTAAGAATATTTGAATCTCGATAGAAGAATTTTTGCAAAAATTACTCATTATTAAGAAAATGATTTTAAAGATCTCAATTCTAAGAAATGAATGTTAATTTTTTAAACAAAAGGTAGTCCAATCTCAAATGTATTCGATTTGATGACAACCAAAAAATTGATAGAGAATTAATTTAGATTATTTGAATCAATATTTTACATAATGAATGTTAATATGAGAGCTAATTTTGTTCCTCCAAGTATTGAATATAATTCTTTTGTACCATATAAGCTAGATAAAGATAGCCTCTTTATAAGAATAAATATTTGATGTAATATCTCTCTAATTATATAAAAAATCTAGGCCTAAAAGAATATTCAATGTTTTACCATATGATTGATAGTAGCACTATTGCTTTACGATAAAACATTTATTTTCTTTTATTTCAATATTATTTGCTCAAAATGAAAATATTGCCCCTTAAATAATATCCTATTCTATTTTATACAACCAGACCTCTTGTTGGATCTTAAAAAGACATTGTAATATTGATATATATTTTCCTATGAGATTAAAAAATAAATATAAAAATGTCTCAAGTAGTATTTTAAAGTAAAAGAATGTAATAAGTGGATATATTTTTATTAATATTAAGTCATGACATTAGCCTTTTGAAGAGGTTTTAACTTGATAAAGCCCATTTGAATGTAGAATAGTAGCTTGATAAGATTTTCAATAAGTATCAATTAAAAATAATCAAAGATTCAATCGTAAGAAATAATTTTACATATTATGAAATAATAATAGAGGATTGAATTAAAAAAACTTACATACACGTGGTAAAAATATTCTAATTTTATTCTACATTTAAGATTTGATATTTTGGAAGTAACTACACTAGATCTAATGTCCAATTTCCAAAAATTATAGGCTTAATATTAGAAAATATCTATAAAATTCTAAGATGTTTGCTTGACTTGATTGAAGAGAGACTAACTCCCATTTAGATAAGAAGACTTTGGTGGCATCTTTTGGATTAATAATGCCAAAAATGTATTTTTATAAGTTTTGTAATAAACAATTTAAGCCACTTTAGATTGCGTTGTTATATTGTAACATGACTAATGGATAAAAGAAAGAAGAAAAATTATATTATAAAAAATCTTATTTTAAAATATATTAATAAATTATTTTAGAAATATAAATAATAGTCAACAAGATAGTAAAATTAATAAGTGCTAATAGAGTCTTTTGCAAAACGGGCTTTTATTTAATTTATAAGACCATAAAAAAGACAAAAAAAGTAGAATAATAAAATTAGTATCATAAGCATCTTAAGATAGAAATAAATAGTAGCCTCTATCAAAACTCATTTAGAAAAATTAGATGTTGATATCTATGGAGGATTAGTAATGAACTTGAGTCAAAATCAAACCTTGAGGCACAAAATTGTGCCCTCACAAAAAAATTGAGATTCTTTTATTAATTAAAAAGAAAAATTAGAAAGTATTCTTTCTAGGATTTTTTAAAGCATTGATTTTGGCTAATTTAAGTTTGTAATAGCTTTCTAAGAACTTTACAAAGTTAAGATTATTTTGAAGTGACAATAGTTTTTATAAAATAAAAAAGGTTAATATTTTAGAATATTTTGTGAAATTTATAGTACACCTATAGATAGGAATTTCTAAATTTGTAACTTTAATTTTATTCAATGTGTATTGTAAGTTTTAACTTGATGGAATGGTTAAATTGAAGGTTATTAAAATTCAAGTGAATTGGAATTTTGGAAATTAGATTTTAAAAAGCCAATGAAATTTTGTAAAATTTCCAATAATCTACTAGTTGAATTAAGATGAAATTTGATACATTAGTATAAAGATTAGTTTCTAATAGTTGTGTAAACTTTAGAAGCAAAAAAAATATTGGCATTGAGAGATTAACATGAAGGTTGTAAAAAGAGAATGATTAATTGTGAGGCCAAATTTCACCACTTGATGAAACCTATGCCACACAACAAGTCCAAGAGGTGGAATTGGAAAGCTTCCAATTGTGTAATT